TCCCGAGTGACTCTTCCTTTGCTTTAGAAAACCGAATCAATTCCTGCTTTCTTACTGATTTTAATTAAAACCACAATCAATCGACTTAGTTGGCTAGATAATAGATATTCACGGAGTAGGCAGTAGATCTAGAACTCGGGTTGATAATTAGAACTTGCCACTTTACTGCATTTCCGGACTGCGATTACACTTGGTCGCAGTTTGGTGTTGTGTTTTAGCGTGTCAGTGGGTGTTGTCTCCAAGATCGCGGGATTATCTTTGGCTTGTGGTCGTGATCTTCTACTAGACTTCGCGGTCTCTGGGATCCCAACCATAATCTTGGCTCCTTGGACTGCAAACTCCATCTGGCCCTTAAACTCTATACATGTGCCTTGTTTTGGGGCCTAAATTGCAAGTATTGTCAAATTCACCCTAAAATGACATGAAATGCATCGAGGAACGAATTTGGGATGCTCATGAACAAAATATAGACAATGAATATCCAAGAACGATATGAAAACATCTAAAATATGAAGGCCAAATAACACCACTTTGGGTGTTATCAGGTACCGGACTTACCTCTTTCTAACTTCTAAGCCCCTCAAGGCCTACTTTAGCATGTGTCTCCTTCAACTGGAGTGACAGATTTCAAGCACAAATTGTAGCAAAATAATTATATTGAGACATAGGAGCAGAGACTCGAGGTGATCATGATTTCGCTCCATTAAGAACAATGTTGAACTCCTTGCCTGAAGGCAATGCACTCGATGTAACTGGCGAAGTTTCCTTCAAATCAATGGTCTAGTTCTCTATCGCTTATCTTTAACCCTGCAACAAGTGTCTAAGAAGTCCCGATTACTTTAACAGTCTCTGAAGTGCTAGCAAGATCAGTCACCAAAACTCTTTCTTTATACATACTCTTCTAGCTTATGCATTTTATGGAATGAAGTAGTCGTGCCAAATAAACCATAGGAATCACACTTCATTCGCAACTGACAATACTCCACCAATAGGAAAACCTCCTTCATTACTTAGGAGTAATGCTAATTTTATCAATTAACTTCGACTTTGTACTCACTTCAACACATATCTTAGTTGAACTCACTCTTGCCCCACTTTGTTGGTTGATCCATACAAAGGGGTTTCCCAAGTCGGCTTGCAACTCTACCTAAATCCTCCTTCAAAGAGAATTCAGATGCCAGCCCAAAAAGCTTTACCCACACTAGAATGGTTGAGTTATCAATATCTAGAGCTTGAGTACCCAGAACCCAGTGCCTCAACCATATCATGTTATCTCGATATAATGCCAAGGCCTCCTTCAAATACCAAACTACAGACATCCTACGAAGGAAATTGGAAAAGAATCAAACGATCCTCGAACCAAGAAAATTTCACCTCACCTTTGCAACCCCATAACCAATTTTCCCAGAAACGGATTGTTCCAATCAATGGCGGAGTCAACAAAAATTGACATACCAAACTAGTCTCCAATCGCTTTGCTCTCTCATCCATTCCCGATTTGAGAATACTAAGGGATCCATTGACGAGATTCGACTAATTGTACTGAAACATGTTGTCCTCACAAGCTCTAAAGAGAGATGACCACGCCGAACAGCTACCAACGGTGCCTAGCGATGCCCTATCAGCGGCAACCACCATCAAGGAAAGAGAATGAATCACTGAACCCTAGGGAGTTTTTGGGAAGTTTTTTTCCCTTCGAGTTTTAGAATTAGCCTTTCGATTCCCTATTCATATATGCGCCACAATCTTGAAATAGGGCTCCATATTCAATTCGCTCTCTCATGGTCAAATCTGATTCCTTCTTCCATCATTGAATTTGATTCCATAACCTTTGTCCGCACCACACTCACGGATGTGAGCCACTATCTTCTCGTCACATCGTTCCTCTGGCTCGATTATCCTAGTCTTTTCATCGGAGGGGCTAGAAATCTATGGTTTCATTTCCAGAATGTGATATCTCTTCTCGGCAAGGTGAATCAAACATAAGGCCATTCTATCTCTATCATCGAATCTCCCTTACACTACAAACACGAGCATAATGCATCATCCAAATTTTTCTGATTTCAAACACTAGTGGGACTTGCCTTTCCACAAGGCGGATCACTGGACAATGGATAAAAAACTCTCAAGATCATCTTCTATTTTTTTTTGTCATGGAGCCACCTTCTAGATCTGCTTCACTACTCCAAACTTTCGGCTGGGAGCAATGGAGTTATGGCGACAAGCGACAACTCTAGGCAAGGTTGAGGCCGCCAATCAAGCCAAGGCCGATGTAGGCAATGATGAAAGGAAACATTTTAGACTTCACTTCTTCTTTCAACAGTGACATCTCTTCTCAACATGCTGAATCAGAAAAGCCACGCCAGATTCAGAAGAGCTCTTGTTTGACTTAGTGAAAGGGATAAAGTGGTGAAGGGGAGAGAGGGGTATGTGATGGGTTTGCGGGTTATTTGGTTAACTTTTTTTCGATATGCTGCGATTCTAATTAAACTCAACTGGAAAAAGCCAGAATCGAAAATACAAGTTTGGTGAAACCCACCACCTACAAAGTAACTGTTACAGTCCACCTTACACAAACTGAATCACCAAACTAAGCTAAACATGAGCAGAAGAAAATGTGGCAGAAAACTTAGGCCTAATAACACCATAAAAAATAGTATCATACCTATAATAATCAACAAGACTCTCAACAGAAGTCGATTTTCCGCCAAAAATCCAGCAACACCTTTGTCGCTTGATCGCAGCAAGCAACCAACACCAACAAAAACCAAGAAACTGTCCCTAGGGATTGGTAGTCTTGAACAAATCAATACCAGCTCCAAACCAAGAATCCCAACTAGAATCTACTGGCATATGAAACCCCTGCAGAACCACTGACTCGCTCCTACCGTCACTCTAGAAAATGGCCAAGTGTAACCACCTCCTAAAGCGTAGTATAGCGGGTTTGGGTTTTAATGTCAACCCGGGTCCTAAGTGTGATGACTACTCCGTGATTTCTTATTTTTTAGCAGTGAAAGTGTAGTGAAGATCCAAACAAGCAAAGCAAGTAAAAAGGTTGTTTTCAAGTCGAGAGAGGTCATCCGGATATGGTTCCCGCTAGACTGCAGTTAAGCCGGATTGTAATTTACCAAGTTCAATTCCAATGATAGTTATACTGCGGGAGGTTCTTAAAGAGTCTGCAGTCTCCACTAAAGGTCTCCAGACCCTCTCAATATGAGTCCCCAGTGGGCGACTAACCTCCACCGGAGTAAACATATTGAGGCCCTAACGAACCAAACCTCCACTACCGAAGTAAATCCGGTACAGAATAGTGAATTGACTCCTCGACTAAAGTCGTCAATTCACTACCTTCAATCAAGGACGCTCTATCAATCTAGGCAGATATTCTCTTTCTAGGTCAAAGCAGAAACACCAGGAATTTGATCAGGATTCATGCCATTCAACAAATCAAACCTCAATTGAACATAAGCATATCACTGAATCTGTACTTGGGTTCATGCAATCAGACATAAGATACAAATCTAGGGTTCTTCATACCCAGGTGAATAAGAAAGTTACTCCATAGAGAGAGATGGGAAATCTAGCTTAGATGCGGAAACCATACTGTGAAGGATGAGACTCTGCTTTTGGCACTCAATCAGCTCTTCTCCAAGCTCAAGCCGGGCTCCAATGGTGATGGAGATCGGTCAAGGACACTTGAAGAATCAGGTTTGTCACTTTCTCTCTCTAGGTATACGCTTTTTCTCTCTAAAACTCGGAACCCCTCACTTTTGCCCTTCTTTTCCCTTAAGAAGCTGTCTGCTGCGATCCCCGGTCTGAATACCCGGTCGGGTATTTTGGGTGGAGACCGGGTTTCTTCAAAACGCACCATTGGGGGGAGGGGTTAATCCCCGGCCTGGGCCAAGAATACCCGACCGGGGATTTATGATTACTGCCCGGGCCCCCTTTTGCTTCTCAAACGCCCGAAACATAAATTCCACGGTCTGCTCCATTAATACCCGGGCGGGTATTTCTGCTCATGGCCGGGTATTTTGCTCCTCCAGCACACTTCAACCCAAACATGCTCCTTTCGACCCGAAACTGGTTTCTTCGCTTCGATGCCGAGGCTAAGTCCTGAAATATGACATAAACACACAACCTAGCGTGTAATCGGCTTAAAACACGAGGATCAACATCTCAAAAGGCTCAAGAATAGGGGTAAAAACATGTACAATCAATGGTATATCAAATTCCCCCACACTTAACCGTTTGCTTGTCCCCAAGCAAGCCTAACTCAAACCAATGCAACTCTCTAGACCTCTATAGCAACAAACAACCCCGATCGTCGGTAGAGGATTTTCTAGATCATAAAGCAACTTACGAGGTCAACTGGTCTTCTAAGACGTCCCCTATCTCTCTCAATGCGAGTACTAGACTCAAGCCAGGATCATGAGAAGAAGTAGAAGTAAGATAGTCAGTTCATGGATAAAGGGACTCACACCGTTCACAACCAAGGACTCGTTGTACCGGGGTGCTCTTTCACTTCATTTCACCGTTGGAACCCCTTTTTTGCACTTTCATTCACATTTCTCTTGTTTTTTTTTCTATTCACTTAGCAGGGGTTCCAACTGCAGTCTTTTGCACGGTCGACCCTTATTAGTTGAGCAAGAGCAATTTCTGTACATCTGGCGCTTGCCAGAGTACTTCTTTTAACTCCTTTTCCTCAACTCGTGTGGCAACGGCGCCAAAAACTTGACTCGCTATGACACAACTCCTAACAATGGTCAAGTGTAACCAATAGAAGGGACTGCAGTATAGTGGCTCAAGTAATAAATTTAGAATCCACGGGTCTCCAGAGTTACTATTACTCAGCTTCAGTTCATTATCTAGCAAACCAGATTAAGATGGAAGAACTAAAACTACTCTAACGAACTACAGTTAAAGTTAATCTAATTACAGGTTGGGAACTCACTTAGGTATGATTCCCCTAGCCACTAGTCAGATTAATGATTGATGATCTCTAACCTGTTTCACTTTCATTCACAATGCGGAGAATCCTTGACTAGACCTTGAGTCTTGACTAAAGGAACAAGTTCCTCTTGAGTCAATTGCATAGAGAGACGTATCCTTCTCTAGAACAACCGATCAAGGCATTCTGAACTAGAATCCCTCTATCGACAAAGGTTCTCAATCGATACAAAGCAGTGAATCAACCCTTGACTAAAGCAATCAATCCAATACTATCAATCTATGGTGCTCTATTGACCTAATCAGGTATTCGCTCTCATAGGATCAAAGCAGAATCAATAATCTCGACAAAAACATAATTGAATCATGAAAACGTGCATACATTGAATATGAACTCAAGATTATCAAGTAGGGGTACTCATACAATCATCCAATCAAACAAACATAGCTAGGGTTCCTCAAAACCTAAGTGAAGGGAAGTTACTCCATAGAGAAGAGAGAGACTGCAGTAAGAATCTTCAGATGACCAGTCTTCAAGTCCGGGCTTGTTCCTCGAGCTTCCAAGGCGAAGAAATCCTCTAGTTCCACTCCAAGAATGCCCTCAAATCGCCCTCTCTCTCTCTCTTTGGTCCGTCCCTTGGGTGTTTGGGATCCAAAACCCTGCTCCCCCTTGCAGAAACGCCCAAAACAGGTTTTCCCCAGGCTGCTCCGATTAATACCCGGCCGGATATTTTTGCTCATGGCCGGGTATTTTGCTCCTCCAGCGCACTTCAACCCAAACGTGCTCCTTTCGACCCGAAACTCGTTTCTTCGCCTCGATGCCAACGCTAAACCCTGAAATATGACATAAACACACAACCTAGCGTGAAATCGGCTTTAAACACGAGAATCAACATCTCAAACGGCTCAAGAATAGGGGTAAAAACATGTGCAATCAATGGTCTATCAACCACAATCGCCACTTCCCTCGTAAACTCACAATCAAAGAAGAAATGACTTCTATATACAGACCCCCCTAGAGTAGAGCACACAACTAGGATTTACACTTTTCCCCCACTCTATTAATTTTCCTCAAGTTACAATCCTATCCTTAATTAGAAGCCACGCAAGGAATCGATTACGAGGAATAAAACTTTGCCCACAATAGCCTCCACGAAGGAACAGTAGGCTTCTTACTTCGCAAAAAAATTCTAAACCACTGTAATTTTGTACTTCACCATAATCATGCCCTCCCAAGATACTTCTACCTATGCCTCTTTGGTCAATCTATAGTAAAACCAAGGTGGGAGTCTAACCAACTTCTTCTAGATCCAAGAGTCATTCTGAGTTTCTTTTAAATCCCAGAATCGTCTCCCTTTAAGTTTGTATTTGGAAGCCCACGCTACCCAAAAAGACCCACCTTGCATTGAGAGAAGACAAATCAACTTCCTTGCAGAAGCAACTTTCCAAACAGTAAGGTCCTTAAGTCCCAATCCACCTTCCCTCTTGGGGATGATAAGCAGATTCCAAGCCACTTTAGCCCGGCCTAATTCATTGTCATGCCACATATAGAAAGTCGTAGCAAAGCTTTTGAACTTGTTTAGTTTCACTCTTGGGCAAAATGAAGATTCCCAGCCAATACTGAAACACTGGATAGATAACTGATATAATAAGTTCAAGTCTTCCAGGATAAGTGAGCTTAATAGATCTCAATGTGCGAATTTTACCAACTATTTTATCAATTAACATGTCACATTCTCTCACAGAAAGCTTTCCAGCCACTAAGGGAAGCCCTAAGTATCGAACATGGAGCAATCCTTCCTGAAAATCAGTTAAGGCCAAAGCAATGTCTCTGGCTGCTCTAGGGGTACCTCCAAAATAAACTGCACACTTGTCTAGGTTGCACTTATGCCCTGAAATTGAGTAAAACTTATATAGCACACGCCTAATGCCAAAAGAGCCCATCCCGATCCTTCTGAAAATATTAACAAGACGTACGCAAAGCATAGGTGCGTTAAACCTATAGGTTTGCATTGTATATGAAATGGTAACTGATTAATGAGAGCAACATATTCAGCATGAGAGAGAGAACTTCAATGATGAAAGTAAAGAGGTAAGAAGACAGTGGGGCACCCTGTCGCACCCCTTTACAAGCTGGAAAAAATCCACAAACCCCCATTTATACATACACTGAAGAAAGCATATGGCAAGCAAGTTTTGATCTAGTTGATGAAGAGCTGAGGAAACTGCATTGTTTCCATGAGTTGGAATAAAAATACCCAATGCACTAAGTCAAAAGCTTTCATAAGATCTACTTTGACTGCACATCAAGAACTAATATTCTTGTGTCTATATTTAGAGACTATTTCTTGTGCCATCAGGATGTTTTCAGTGATGTTTCTTCCTTTTATCAAAGATGACTGATTCCTACTTATGAGACAAGGGAGAACTGATTGTAATATATTAGCTAGTATTTTTGAAATGACCTTGTATGACATATTAATACAAGCTATTGGTCTGTATTCAGTCATTTTATAGGCATTTTGAACCATAGGTACTAAAGTGAGAGAAACAGAGTTCAAACCTTTAGGAAGAGATCCCTTGGCAAAGAATTCCAAAACACCAGCTACTAAGTCCTCACCAACCACACTACAAGTCTTCTGATAGAACCTATGGGTCCAACCATTAGGGCGTGGAGCCTTATCTGGCTTCATAAAAAAAGAGCATCCCTTATCTCATCAGTTGTAATATGAGAACACAACTCAGCTCCCTCATCTACAGACACCTTCTTGACAATTAAAGCAGCCAACATGCAACAAATCTGGATCAGAATGAACCTTTGCATTAACAATGCCATATAATTTTTTTATAAAAAGAAACAGCCTCCCCAGCAATGTCCTTAGCGTTGTCAAGCACTTCCCTAGAGTCTAAAGTCAGTTGATTAATCATTTTCCTAGCATGTCTCACCTTAATTGACAAATGAAAAAATTCTGTATTAGAATCACCTAAAGAAAGCCATTGCACTCTTGATTTCTAATTATAAAAGCTTTCCTATGCTTTCTTCAATTGGTGAAGCTCTTTAGCTCAGGTCTGTTCCATAGTGAAGTTAATTTCAGAGGGATTCCGAAGAGACTCCACTTGAGCTTGCTTATGCAACTTCTTAGCCTCTTTTACCTTGCCACTAATATCTGCATAACATTCTTTATTCAATTTCTTCAATTCTGTCTTGGCAGATAATTGCTTCATCCTTAGACAATTTAGCTTCGATCCTCTTACAAAAGTGACCCAAGCTTTCTTCATAAGATCCAAATAAGAGGGATGATCCAACCACATGTCCAAAAATCGAAATGGCTTCGGAAAAGACTTTGTTGGCATCCACAGTTTCTGTAACTACCATTGTTGGAACTTCAACAATATGAAGATCCTTCTTCCGCCATACTCTCCTCACTTCTCCGGTTGGGCTAGCACAATCATGCCCAAAAACCGTACATTCCTTACAGCGAGAAAGCATATGCATTATTCAAGCTTGATGGTGAAAATCTTCCCTCCTCCCACATCAAATCTAACTTGATCAATCATCCTTTCCGAAACCTCAACCTCAACACAAATCTTAGCATACCCTAAATTTAATCCCTTGCGCGTAAGCAGATCCATACAAAGTGGCTTGCCAATTAGACTTGCTACTCTACCCAACCCATCCTCAGACAACAGTTCTAAAGGGAAATCTATCAACTTAACCCAGATTGGCAGTTCCTTATTATCAAGTTCAAGTGCTCGGATCCCAATCTCCCAACGTCGAAGGAAAAACATATTGTCAAGCAGATGCCAAGGACTCCCCTCGAAAACCCAATTGCATGCAGCTTTCAGGGTAATTGAAAATAAACAAGACGATCACATAACCAAGGGACCTGTACCTGGCCATCGCATCCCTAGAACCGATTTTCCCAGCTATGAATCACCCATAATGACGGAGGCTTCCCCAAAAATTGACCCATCGAGCTATTCATCCACCTTTTCTCTCCTTCATCGCACACCGTTTTAGGGATGTGGAGAAAACCATCCACAATAACAAGCTCAACGTACTGTAGACGATTATCCTCAGCAATTCCAAACAGTGAGGTCCAAGGGCGGCTATCGACGACGGAGCCTTGGGTGCCCTCACCGATGAAGGCACCCATCGTGAAATCAAGAGAGTTGTTCAGAGGGAGAAGAGAGAGATTCCAACAAAAATTTTCAATTTGTTTTCATTTATTTTTTCCCTTAACTTTTTCCATAAGGGAAAAACTATTGAAACACTAGCGGCATAAAACAAGTCAGATATCAAACATTACGTTATACAAGTAGCAATTTTGCTAAACATTGGTATTTTTAGTAGTATTATCTCTATAATTAAAAAAAATATTTGAAAATAATATGATATCAAGCCCAACCCTTGTACTCGCTTGCCTAACAGGATGCACAACGCGCATGAGTGTGGTTTGGAAGTCACTTAGGTCCTCCCTCTTCCACAAAAGTGGGTAACTCCTATGAATACACCTTATGAGTGAGAAACATATTCTCCAATACCTTTTTCAAGGCTCTTCCCACCAGTGTGGTATTTTGAGACTTCTCTAAATTTTAGAAGCTATTCATCCTCAACAATACATCACTTGAATGGTTATGAAATTTTCACTGAGAATCAAGACACAATATAAGATCAAGCATAAAATAAGGTATCTTTCGATTTTAACCTTAGAGTAATGGTTATAATTCATATTCGAAAAGAGTGACTCGTAGTCTTAAACTCTATCTTTCACAATGTAGCATGTCATATCATATTAGACTTTAGTGAATGCTCTAGAAATTTTTGTCCGCAAGTGGCCCCACTTCAACATTCGCATAGTGTATTTTTCATAAGTACACCCAAAGCTATGTACTTCACTATATATAGAGTATATACCTCTTTAAGAGTTACCATTACACCAACCTCTTTATGCTTTAGAAATTCATGATTCACTATGCCCACGTGAGATTCAGGGGAAGAAACTCGGCATGACCTGAATAAGAATGGTTCTATACCTCATTTTGTGACCAAATAATCATGTAAACTTGTCATTAGAAGGAAGAGCAAGAAACTACGAGAGTCTGACATCAGACGACACCTGAATTGGAGGTCAAACGAGTTCAAACAAGCATAAACAGAGCTTAGAAGTGCATGCTGGAAAATGTGCACGGCCGTGCAATATTATGCATGGCCGCGCGAGTTTTTCAGGAGGTTTGCAGGACTAAAACCTCAATTTGCACATCCATGCAAGTCGGCGGTGCGAATTTCAGCGGGTAGAAAGGCTGTTTTGCGATTTTTGCAGAGGGAGAGCTGGGTTTTGGATCCCAAACACCCAAGGGACGAACCAGAGAGAGAGAGAGAGAGAGAGAGAGAGAGAGAGAGAGAGAGAGAGAGAGAGAGAGAGAGAGAGAGGGCAGTCTAGAGCCATTCTTGGAGCTATTTTGGAGGATTCTTCATCATTGAAGCTCAATGAACAAGTCTAGGCATGAAGATTGAAGATCTGCAAAGTTATACTGCAGTCTCTCTCTTCTCTATGGAGTAACTTCCCTTCACTTAGGTCTTGAGGAACCCTAGCCATGTTTGTTTGATTGGATGATTGTATGAGTACTCCTACTTGATAATCTTGCATTCATATTTAATCTATGCATGTTTTCATGATTTTTTTATGGTTAGGTTTTCATGATTCAATTATGCTTTAGTTGATATTATTGATTCTGCTTTGATCCTATGAGAGCAAATACAATATTAGGTCAACAGAGCACCATAGATTGATAGTATTGGATCAATTGCTTTAGTTGAGGGTCGATTCACTGCTTTATATTGATTGAGAACCTCATTCAAATCTAGTCCAGATGTGACTATCGCAGCTTCCACTTCCAGAAGAGTCGCTGTGCCTCTTGAGGCTTCCCCGCCGCTCGCGTGAGAAAATGTTTCTCTTCCTTTCTTTGCATCTCATGGGGAAATCGACTCTCCCTTTCTCTCTATTTCTCTGCATCTCTCAAACTTTGTTTTGATCAATGTTCTGTCAGATAATTGGAGCGAGAAGGCCAAATGGAGGAGGACGACCAGTACTGGAAGGATGAGGTACATGTGGTCAGTTTTCGTCAGGTTCAAGTGTAGCTTAGAGAAGGAAAAATTCCCAAACTTGAATTTATCCAAGATTTACTTTGAATACACTTTGTATTTATGAAAGTTAACTTCCTCTGCATTTACACTCATCCTCTGTTTTTAGCAGGGACGATCGGCTCCATCGCAAGGGACTCCAAGTGGCAGGGGAATCTTGGAAAGACTCCAACCAACTTTACCAGACTTAATATAATTTCTCTATAGTTCTGAAAGTAAATGTAACTAGGGGTATTAAAGTAAATGTGATTCGGGTCCAATTGTACACATTTTGCAACTCATTTCTTGATAGTTTGACTTAGCATTTCATCGTCTCTCGACATATTTCATGCTAGGTTGTGCTTGTTTTGAAACATTTCAGGTCCTTTGCCCTGTAACCGTGAAGCACAGGCGTCCAGGAACCACCCGCAGTTCACGGTCGGAGCTGCGAGTTCACGGTCTTATAAGGCCGTGAACTAGAGCTAGAACTCGTGAAACAGGGAGCAACTAGAGACGGTTTTCAGGTTACTGACGGCCAGGTTGTTCACGGTCGCTAAGACCATGAACATAGGCCACAGACCGTGAAACCGAGCCAGCAGAGCGGTGCGTTTTGGTCTCAGCACTGAGTTCACAGACGCATTTCAATGTTCACGACCGTGAGCTCAGACCGTGAACTGGGCGCGATCTGAGTAAAAATTGTGAGCTGAAAGGAGGAAGAAGGGAGAGCTTTTAGGTAGGGTTTTAGTTTTCGGAATAAAGAGGGTTTCTAGTGAGAGATTAGGGTTTCTCCTTCACATTCCAGAGAGAGAAAGTGACACTCAAAGGAGGAAGAAGGAGATTGGGCTCAATTCAAGCTAGGGGATTGAAGATTTCTTCTTCTCAATGGAGATTCAAGGAACAAGGGAGGAAGATTTCCACCTCTCCATGGTTTTTTCTCTCCTTTTTGTTGTTTTCCGTTGCCTAGCTATGGATTAGCCTACCTATTCACTTGGGTATTGTAAACCCTAGCTACATTTATGTGAATGCTTGTATGAATTGAATGATTTGTGTGTGTGGTTGTGTTTTAACGTGAATGTGAAGGTATTATTCATGAATGGTTGTGTTTTGTGAAAGCCTATCAATCTAATTGTCATTCTAACCTAGCTTATATAGGAGACCTCCTTAGGTTAAGAGGCTCCATTGGATATGGGTGTGCTTGGCCATTTGATGCCTCCTAGGCTAGTTTAGAGAGGAAACCTCCTTCATCCAAAGAGGCTCTATTTGAGATGGGTTTTCTTGGGCATTCAATGCCTCTTAAGATAGTTTAGAGAGAACCCTCCTTAACCTAAGAGGATCTATTAGGGATGGTAGAGATGGGTTTCCTTGGGCATTTTATGCCTCATATTCTAGGTTAGTTAATGGGCAACCCTCCTATTTCGTATTAGCACTTAGGGTTTGGTTATGGGTGGTTGTCCGAAATCCAATTTGAGGGTGAAGTCTAACCATTCCTTAGTCAATAGGCTGAGAGGGTCACATTAGTGGCTTGGATCGTATCCCATTCCTCGACCTAGAGGCTAAGAGGGTAGCTTTAGCAGCTTGTTAGACTTCCTAGCGTTTTATGACCCCCTAACCACACACGGTCGTTCGATCCAACAAGTCGTAATTGTTAGCTAGGGGGAGCAACACCCGAATGAACTCTTCTCTCATTGGGACGACCCCGATTTACTTTACATGCTTGTTTTCATTTGTAGTTTTCTTAGTTTTAAACCCAAAACCGTTTGCTAGATAACAACTTAAGCGATTGAAGTAGGGGTACATGGACCGGCTTGGGTTTGACAATTAAATACTTGTCCTATTCTGCACCCGGCTAGAGTTTAAAAACTTAGGCTCTAGTCGGGATTAATTCGCGGTGTAGTTTCGTGTGAGTCAAAATGTAACTTAGTTAGGGCAACGAATAAGTAACTTTAGGGCGACGAATAGCAATGCCCAAATCCCTTCTTCTTGGTTTGTTTTATAATAATAATAATAATAGTTATTATTAATATTAGTATTCCTAATCCAAGGTTCCAACCCTTCGTACGTAACTGTCGATCCAACCGTTCGCTCTAACCTAGACCCAAATGTCGGGGTGTTACATTTTCTCCACTCTTATAAAAATTTCTTCCCCGAAATTGTAACAGTAGAATACAAACTGTGAACGATCACTTGCTCGAAAATTTACTGCGTTTGAAGGAACTGGGTTAGTCGCGATATAACATTTCCCTCCCCCTTAAAAAAATTTTTGACCTCAAAATTTTGGGGTAAACTGAGTTGTTGGGTTTGGGGGAACTAAACTGAATCAATGGGTCTACTATTGAAATATCCAGTAACGAGAATTGAACGAGAAGTACAAAAAGATTCACCAACCACTGATCTAAGCACCATTAAACAACTCCGGGTACTTCTCCCTCATGCTACTCTCTGTCTCCCAAGTTGCAGTCGCGCTGCTCTGGTTCCTCCATATAACCTTCACCATGGCAATCTTCTTTCTCCTCAACTCATTCTCCTGCATATCCATGATCTGGACTGGAACTTTCTCATATGTTAAATCATTCTCCAATTGAATGTCCTCGTGCCTGATCACATGTTCGAGATTGGACCAATATGCCCTTAGCATGTTGACATGGAGAACGTCGTGAATCCTAGATAGACTAGGAGGTAAGCCTAGTCGATAGGCTAAAGGTCCAATGCGCTCCAACACCTCGTATGGCCCGATATACCTCGGACTAAATTTTCCCTTCTTGCCAAATCTCATCACTCCCTTCCAAGGAGATACCCTCGAAAACACCATATCACCCACGTCATGACTGCGTGGGTTTCCCGACCTCTTAGCATTACTCTTTTGTCGGTCCTGAGCTGCCTTCAAGTTCTGGCGAATTGCCTCCAACTTCTCTACTGCCTTATGTACCATCTCTAGACCCTCTAGCTGTCACACTCCTTCTGCATCCCAGTACAG